AGGGAAGCCATTGGCAAAACATGGATGAGGTCAATGCCTTTACTTGGTTCAAGTGCCGTTTAGAGTCCCTCATCACCTTTGAACCTTAAAATCTCAGGGCCCCCAAACTACTTTAAGTTATAGAGGAGTTGTTAAGGTGCATCAATGAAGTGAGTTTCCACACAGGGAGTTACTCCCATTAAGTGAGTCAGTCCCTTTTGCACAATAAAAATGAGAAAATATTTTAGATGCATTTTACTAATCTAAATGGAAGCTTTGAACATGAGTCCCATGTTTCTCTTCTAGGATGATATTTTGCCTTCAGATATGTCTAGGAGAAGGGACTAGCCATATGCAATAGTACGTTGAATATATAAATCATTTTATTCTCTTTATTTCCCTTTTTCTCACCATAATGGAATCTCATGGTATTCCTGAATACAGTTGGGTGTGTGTGTGTGTGTGTGTGTGTGTGTGTGTGTGTGTGTGTGTGTGTGTTTAGGATAATGTAGGGACTGGATCTGTGATTTAATCGATATAATCGAATAATTTGGCTCTGTACTTCTTACCCATCTTGTTCAGTCTTAGGGGAAGAGGTGATTTAGGTTGTATACAGACTATAATATCCTGATGGCAAATGGACATGGCCCTTAGAAGGATCACTGGGCCAGGAGTTGATAGGTTTTTTCTTTTTTGGTGGTGGTGAGGGGAGTCAAGTCATTAGCAAATTGTCACCCCAATTCTAAGTTAGACATTGTTCAGTTCAATTGGGTGGGTTGAACTATTCATGTACCAATGACTCTGATAACTGGACCAATGGAATGCCATGTTTAGAATGGCCCCCTGTGTAGACTTGTTTCCTTTTGGGACAGTTAGGTGGTACAGTGCGTAATGCACTGAGCCTGAAGTCAAGAAGACCTTACTTCAAATCTGGTCTCAGGCTGTCTGACCCTGGGAAAGTCATATAACCACTATATGCCTCAGTTTCCTCACCTGTAAAATGGGGGTAATAATAGCACCTACCTTCCAGGGCTGTTGGAAGAATCAAATGAGATAATGATTATAAAGTGCTTAGCACATTAGCACAGTGCCTAGCACATAGTAAGCACTGTATAAATGTTAGCTGAGTACTTCCTGCACAGTAATTTCACCTCATGTGATATTGGAAGCCAAACCAATGAATAACATGAAACACAGCATGCCTTTGCCAAGAGGGGATTCATTCACTGCCCTTCTTGAAAATATTTGAGAATGGAAAAAAGAGTCTATTTGGGGCACCCTCTCTTCTGAGGGCAATGCGATGAAATCCCTGCTGGTGCCATGCTCTTTGTCCATAATGAAACAGGCATTGTGCTTGGATTGCCTGTAGGCATTCCCTCAGGTTTTCTTGCTTATAAAATTTTAATAATCTACCAGTTAGGAAAGGACAGTCAAACAGGATGTAACTCCTTCAATGCCATGGTTCCCTGACATTCGAAGTGGTCCTTGCAAATCTTTATAGTCCTAATTTAAGACAAATCACATATTTGTACTTCACTGAAAGTAACAGGGTAACATCATGTCCTCTAGGAGACCAGATTCGAATTTTTTGGGTGAACCCTCCTGTACCAAGAGGACCAATTTATAGATAAATATAAAGCATTTCAAACTAACAGACTATGTTTTACAACAACTGGGGTAGGATGCAAACTCACTTACCTTTTTCCTTTCTCTCTCTCTCTCTCTCTCTCTCTCTCTCTCTCTCTCTCTCTCTCTCTCTCTCTCTCTCTCTTTTTTTAATTCCTGCTGTGCACCCGGCTGGTGCAGGAAGTCCTATGAGGTAAGAAATTCCTGCCTCACAAAAGTTGCCTTTCTAAAAAAAAAAAAAAGGAACATAATGGAAAAGGCGACCAGCCTAGCAGGCAAGACACAAAAGGTCAGCCTGTGCTGGGAATTTCATGCCTCATGGCTTTGGGTCAGCAAAGTACCCCAAAACCAAATGTTAACGTTATTGAATGCTGAATCAGGGGTGAAGTTTAGCCCTTTCTCAATTCCCAAACTGGCTTCGATGGATAAGGAATTCCTCTGCAGTCATCTCAAGGTCCCTTCTAATGAGAAGGCAAGTTGGTGGGCTGGGCAACAGTGGAAAACTTTTCAGGAAGCTCCATGATAGCTCAAGCCTAGGAAAAATGCAGCCAGGATTTCTCTGCATTGGAATGAATCACTCACTTCCGAAAGAAAGAAAGAAAGTTTATTTCATGGGTAGAAACAAGGTGATCAGCACAGCACTTCTCATACACGAGGTCACAATGCTATGGATTCTACACACCTTGCACATTACAGTTCTACAGGACGTTAAGTTACAATGACTTGTCTAATACATGCCCGTGGGTAATTTCTGAGAATTCCTTAATTGGTTCATATCGAGGTCCTTAGCCACATGTCAGTGCTACAATCCACATGCCACTCACTTGAAGAAATTATCACAAGAAGCACTATGAAATGAGGGTCTCAAGGAAATGGAGAGATACTGACCCATCGGTGCAGCACATCATGTTCAAACATCACTCTACACAAAAACATCGCAGATATAGTGCATGTCAACATGTTGGCGGTCTTGGCATAAACACTGTTTAAAAAGGTAATTGAAACTCACTTTCAAACAAAAGTCATGTGCATTTAACGTGCATACTGGAATACGTAAAATTTCATAAATACAAAATCAAGACTGTCCATTGAAATTAAAGAGGCTATGAGTTGCAGGCCTGACTCTGCATGAAAGGTAGAATGATTTTACATAAGTGTTAGCCAAAAAACATTTGTCTGTTTTTAACATCATTAAAACTTCAGGGGGAAGCCTACTTAAGGTTGCTCAAATCCAAGATTTTCCCAACATCACAGTGTTTTGTTTTGTTTTGTTTTTTAAACCCAGAGTCTATTTGTAATATATGAAAAGCAATCCCATCCCACCCACCCCTGGAACATCATAGAATGTTACATGGAATGGGAAAAGATACAATGCTAGACAAAAATGGGACCTTTTAGGGGGACAAAACTGGCTGTCCCCATAAAGTCATTTTTTTTAATCAATAATACTCTTACCAACAGAAACAGGGCCAAAATACCCTTCCCAAACAATAAAGAAGTGTGACAACATTGGCACATACATAGAAATAGCTAACTCTACAGATTTGTTCTGAGGACCCTATTTTCCCCTAGTTTATTTTCTATTTCAAGTATTCAGTTGCAAAGTGAAGGTAGAAACCTGATTGTAAGAGACACCTGGGTGCTGCACCTGAAGAGGACAGCCCAGTGGGTATAGGAGAGACATTTCTGGTCTGCATTTACAGATAGATTTGATACCTTGCCAGAGAACTGGGCATTTTTTGTCTTCGGCAAAGATCTAGAATCCCTTTGATAGATAAAGGACAAACGTTTTAAATATGAATGTAGTTGGATTACTTGGGTGACACATAAGCCTTACACGCTTCATGAACTTTCCAAAGACAACCACCCAACCTGGAACGAGAAGCTCATATCCCACGAGGGGCTTCCTACCCATGAGCAAGGATGGGATAGCTAAAATGGCTCTCCCACCCCCCCCTGCTCCTTGACAAAGAGGCTTCTGCCTTTTCAATACCTCACTCACTCACAAAGGATTTCAAGTGTTTTAATTGCCCCCAACAACCTTACAGAAAGACCATTGACTAAAATCAGGGCAAGACTTCAGGCGTATCAGTTTTTGAATCCGTTTCCATGGGAACAATTAAAAAAAAACCAACTATAATTATTAAGGCCACTCATGCTTAAATCCAATGTTTGTCCCTTAAAAATTCTGCTATGCATGTCCTACTCACATCCACGTGGAAAAAAATGTCTTTTCTTGACAAGAAAAATAGGATGGATCAATCTCACAGCTGAACTTTTGCACATGTTCACCAGACTTTTTTTGTGAGCTTTATGAAGTTGTTAGAATCATTTTTTGTTTTCTCCCTCCCTCCAGTGTGAGTTTAACTCTCTCTGGTGCCACATCACTATGTAAAGACCAGAAAATTTGGCCTTTTCTCCCTGTCATGTGCTTTAAATAATGACTGCACTTCACGTATGTATTTTGTAGAGCTATATACAGAGACACAACTTTGAAGAATGTCGCTCCTCCTCCTTGGGGTGTTTTCTTGTTGAATGTTTAAGATGCACTGGAATCCATGTTGGAGACTACATTTTTTCATCAAAATTAAAAACAACAACAACAACAACAAAAAGAATCCTTTCTTTGCAGAAGGTCAAATGTGTACACTGTTTTCATGGAACTTGTATCTTGAAATGTTCAGGAGTACCAGCTTTTATATTAAAACATTGATATGTAACTGGATGAGAAAAGTCTGAGGTTCCATCCTGGCTCATCTGTATGGATGTCACCAGATTTGTATGAACACATATGTGGACCCCTCATGCTTTTGTCATGCCTTGATACATGAACAGTGTAGACTAAATCAGGTACGATGGGTTTTCAGATGCCCCGTTCACTGTCAGAGACACACTACCACCATGTTTTCATCAGGCGAGTTCTTGCCAACAAGCTCTAATCGCATGATTATTTTCAAAAATTGATTCCATTTCCAACCTGGCCCAGAGCTAACTACTAGTTAGTGATAATATAAATATACGATTATTTGAAAAACAGGTTAAAGAAACAGTGGAGGGTAAAGGCTCATTTTGTTTGTTTGGTTTTTTTTGCCTTTGGCATTCAGGTTTCTTTGTTCAACAGTCCACATAGCTGGGGAGATGAATAGTGCTGACTCCATTCAATACAGCTCACTTAGGCTTTTTCTTTCTTTCTTTCTTTCTTTCTTTCTTTCTTTCTTTCTTTCTTTCTTTCTTTCTTTCTTTCTTTCTTTCTTTCTTTCTTTCTTTCTTTCTTTCTTTCTTTCTTTCTTTCTCTTTCTTTCTTTCTTTCTTTCTTTCTTTCTTTCTTTCTTTCTTTCTTTCTTTCTTTCTTTCTTTCTTTCTTCCTTCCTTCCTTCCTTCCTTCCTTCCTTCCTTTCTTTCTTTCTTTCTTCCTTTCTTCCTTCCTTCCTTCCTTTCATTCTTTTTCTTTTTTTCTTTGATAATCTGATGCATTTGAAATGACACTATTGACCAAATTAGCATAGTCATTGGAGATGAAGTTAATACATCTAAACAGAAATTTTATCACACAATTAAACTTTGGTAGTATTAAAATTTATCAAATGGCATTGAAATAACTCAAACTGAACATTATTAAGGAATGAGAATTAGGAGAGGTGGTCACATTGTTAACCCCCAAGCTCCAAAACAAAACAAAAAATAATTCATCCACTCTGAAAAATGAAGGCTGTGTCCTGTCCATCCACTCTACTTTTCTGCTCTTGAACAGAATGGACTTTGCAAGAGACAAGACGAGATAAGGCAGAACATATCCAGTCCTTAGGTCTTGCATCAGACAGCAAAAAAGGAACATTCATCTTCCATTGCTATGACCCCCTCCATTCTGGCCATCGTGAGGGAGGGGTGTGGGATCCTCTGCAATAGATTATCAGAGCATTTTTGCGGGACAGTATCTTCTTTCTCCATCCAGCCTCTCTGTCAGATAACTACAATAAGAAAAAAAAAGGCGTTTAGTAGGAGAAATAATACCAGTCATGTCAACAAATGCAGTGATCTGCTCTATGACAGACTTATCTGTGGGGAGTGAAAAGTGGAGATGGCTTAGTGTGCTTTTGGGGTACTGGGAAAAGAGTCAGTAGGGAGGAGATCAGCCAGAGCCCATTGGAAATTAACTGATACTGGAGAAGATCTCTAGGAAACTGTCTAAACCTCGTAGGACATAGATGATATTCTTCAAAAAGTAGATAGTGTAGATTCATTGAGAGAGGGTGGGTCCTGGACTGAAGATGTCCATAGTGACAAGTTGGCAACAGTTATGTAGTGCATAGTCTCAGAGAGTTGCCTAGAGCTTGGATTCATATATATTTTTTAAATACCAGAGAGCTTAGAACTCATATTAACATTGACTAGGCAGAAGAATGGTATAAAAGAGGCTGTACTTGACTTCTAGCTCTGCTACTCACTTCAGCCAATCAATCGGTCAACCAACCAACATTTCTCAAGTGTCTGAAATTCAGTAGGCACTATGATAGATGCTGGAGATGCTGACACCAAAATGAAGCCGTCTCTGCCTCCAAGGAGCTTACATTCTATATGTCAGTCATTTATCCTCTATGGATTTCTGTTTCCTCATCTGAAAAAGGAGAGGTTGTCCAGAACACTTTCAAGATCTCTTGCAGCACTGAATCTATCAAACTAGGAAACTGACTATATGAGTCTTCAGGTAGTCATCAAACATTTCTTGAACACTTTACTAAGTGCCTGCTAAATGTCAGGCACTGTGTTAGGTGCTGGCAATACAAAAAAAGGGGGAAGGGAGACAGTCTGTGCTGTCAAGAAGCTCACACCCTGATGGAGAAGACAACATGCAAATGACTAGGTACATACTTAACATACCCAGGAGTGGATGCAAGGTAACCTGAGAAGGGAAGGCGAGACCAAGAGCTGCAGTCCAATTCACCTAAACTTGGCAAACAAACCTACCCATGATCCCCTACAGACGATCTAGCACACCTGGTGTCAAACATCCAGATGAAAGAAATGGAAACCTTCAAATGTCTGAGTGCTTGTGATAATGGAGTCAAAGCACCCTGATATTCCAGTTCATTTTTTAATTATGGAGATATTTGGGGACATGTAGTCCTGTTACCATTTAGGCTCGAAGGAAACCGCAGATTCCTACTATGAAATAAGGATTTACTCTTATAACTGCAGAGGTTGGTGACTTACAAAGGCATCTCCCCCAGCATTTATATGATTGATTTGTGTCCTTGTATCCCCAGGACCTACCATTGTACCTTGCACATAGTAGGAGCTTCATCAACGCTTGCTGATTGTTTGGTTGATTGATTAAACTCCCAAGAATTGTTGCGGTTTATGAGACTCTTCAGTGCCCGGGGAAGGAAAAGGTATTCAGGGAAGAAACATAGCCATGAAAACAGCTCAGTCATGTCGAAAGCACGTTCAGCATTTTCTGATCACTGCTGACTAATGAAAGGCCAATGGCTTTGAATGGCAGGGCAGTTGTGTGGCCATCATTAAACAGCCAATCTGAGATCTGCATTTGGATGAACTCTGCTAATTCCAACTCTTAGGGAATGGGTATAACCTTTCAGGTTAAGAACCCTTGAATTTGGGGTGAGGGGGGAGAAGCTGCAGAGCAGGAGAGTGAGGGAGTATTGGAAGCAGATCGCGTTACTAACTCTGGCCCATAAAATCTTGGCAAACTTTTTCTTGAAATGAAAATTCAAAGTCAGAGCATGCATTCTGTGTTGTGAGTTCTGCATACTTTTCATTCTTCTGTGCATGAAAAGTACCTTAATCATCTTTTCAAAGGATTGACAGAAATATTGAAGCAATAGGGACTGGAACTATGATTTCATTAGTATAGGGAATTCCCAAGTGAGGAAACTCCTTCTACCAATATAGGCAAGAACTTTCTCTGCAACATCTACTGATACACTGAATGACTGAAGTAATCAAAATGCCATGGGCATTTAAAAAAAAAAAAAGGAAATGGGTGGGGGGATGAGAGGAAATTTGTGTTGGGAGAAGGATAGAATCATCCCAGCCAATTTCTACTATCTTTTCTTGAAGATTTTCCAAGATAAAGTACCAAGGAGCAAGCATTTATTCAGTTGCAAAACACATACCCATACACACACAAACACATGGAGATCTCAAATAAAGCAGGGCTGGTGATGAGAGGATGCCCAGGCAAAAGCCAACCAGTCACAGCATAACTGAATAATCCTCTCCTTTTCCTTCATCCCAAGGATCACATGGCCCAGAACAAAGGCCATGCCTATCTGGTGACACAGGGTCTAGGCTCAGAAGACCAAGGTCTTGGAGCTGGAAGGGGCTCAAGAGGTCCTAATCCAAGCTCTTCATTTTATAGAGGAAGAAAAAAAGACCTGCAGAGGCCAAAGTTCTTGTCCAACATCAGATGTCTAGTAAGTGACAGGATGTGAATCTGATCCCTGATGCTCTTCCAAAAGGTCCATTTTTGATACCATCCCACTGCCCCGGTCATCCTGATCTATCTCTTGCCTTTGGGCCTAGATGGCTCTGGAGGAGATTGTGAGGCTAGTAACCTTGCACATCCCTCCTTCACTTAAATCCAGTCCACTTGCAAGTCATGGCATCACCTTTCTGGTGCCGTGGAACCCTTCGAGAACAGGGGGCAGCTAGGTGGTGTAGTGGATAGAGCACCGGCCCTGAAGTCAGAAGGACCTGAATTCAAATCCAACCTCAGACCAAACATTGACACTCATCAGCTGTGTGACCCTGGGCAAGTCACCTAACCCTAAATGCCTAAAAAAAATCGAGGACAAACAAGAACAACTGCTTGACCTAATTCAATCCGTGCGCCCTTTCATTTAGTACTAGAAGAAACCTTAGATTCCATCAAGGGAGCCATCAATCAGCCAATAGTTATCAAGGGCCTACTATGAGCCAGCAACTGCCCTGGGTGCTGGAGATATAAATACAGAGTAAAATAATCACTGTTCTCAAGGGGTCTGCATCCTAATGGGGAAGATAAGTCTCTCTATAGAATTCTAAATAGAATATAATAGAATTAAAATATCACACATATGTACAGAATAAATATGAAATCATGCTTGTATCCTCCCAACCTTGAGGTTGTCTTCGACTTCTCTATTTCCTTTATTCCACATAGCCAATCAGCTCTTAGATCTTTATACATACATATATGTGTGTGTGTGTGTGTGTGTGTGTGTGTGTGTGTGTGTGTATACATATAATATATATATATATATATATATATATATATATATATATATAATATATATATATATATATATATAAAATCTACCTACCAGCCCCCATTCTTCCATATCTGGCCACCACCCTAATCCAGGTTCTCATCACTTCTTACCTGTGTTACTGAAATGGCTTCCTAATGGTCTCCCAACTAGTCTTTCCCCTTTTCAATCCATTTTCCACATAGGTGCCAGAATGATTTTCCTCAAACATAAGTCTGTTCCTATAGGGCTTAGTAAATTCTAGTGGCTTCCCACTATTTTTAAGATCAAAAACAGAGAGCATTTCAAGTTTTTCATAACCAGATCTCAAACCACCCTTCCAGCTTTATTTTATGTTACTCTTTTTCATGCACCCTGAAGTCTAGACAAACTATCCTTCTGGTTGTTCTTCAAATACAGTATCACATCTCCAGTTTTTTTGCCTTTGTACTACTTGCTGTCCTTGATTGCCTGGAACACCTTCCTTCCTCACCTCTACATCTTAGAATCCATTGCTTTCTTTAAGGCTAGGCTGAAGAAGCCTTTCCTGCCCCACCATCTGCTAGTGCCTTTCCCAACAATAGCTTATATGTCTTTTGTACATTCTTTATATACTTATATATGGACATCGTCTCCTCTACTGAGATTGTAAGCTCCTCAAGGTCAGTGGCTGGAATACAGGAAGCAGTAAAGAAATTCTTGTTGATTTACTGATCTAATTCAATCCCTTATTTTACATGGGCAAATAAGGTAAGTGAGGACCAGAGGTACAGAGACTTCAATTCAACCAGCATTTATTCAATTCCTTCTGGGCACAAGGTCCTGAGCTAACCACTGGGAATACAAAAGACAAAAAGTCAGCACTTGCCTTCAAGGACCTTATATATTCTACTGGAAGGATACAGCTTAAAAACAGAAGACATGCTTGGGAGGTATTGCAACTTCTGGGTACATTGATTCACCTTCCTGGGATTCAGATTCTCCATCTGTCAAATCAAGGAGTTGAGCTAGATGACGTCCAATGGTGCTTTCCAGATTTCTCTCTATGATTCTGTGACCTCAGTTTGAAGCCCAGCTCTGTCACTTAAAACCCGTGAGATTGAGAGCACGTTATTAAACTTTCTACACCTCAGTTTCCTCATCTGAAAAATGAGGGAGTTGAATGAGATGGCTTCCAAGGTCTCTTCTATGTTTACATCTGTGATCTTCTGAGCCAGGTTTTAATCCCAGTTCTGCCATTTTTACTTTTGTGACATTTGTGACATTTAAAAATAAATGACAGGGTCAGTCATTTAAGCTCTCCAAGCCTCAGTTTCCTCATGTGTAAAATGAGGGGGTTGAACAGATGATCACTGAACTGGCTTTTAGTTCTCGCTCTGTAATCCTATGATGAAATAGGATACCCCCGCTATTCCTCAAAGGTGGCTAATACATTTTTTGTATGGTTTTCGTTGTCTAATCTGACCAGGTGGTGTACATTTCTTTCCTTTTTCCATATTTTTGTTTTCTGACCGTGATTGAAATACTTCCATTTGAAGACATTCCTGGAAGCAACCGTGCGACAAGCTCCCTAGTTGAGGGGAATATAAAAAGTGTGGTATCGCACAAATATCCTTTCTGATTGTTTTTCTTTAGAATAAAGACACCTGCCCAATGCTTGCTGTCTTCTCCAGCCACTCAGTGCCGGTTACAGTGATTTGCAGAAACAGGCTGGGAGAAAG